GATGACCTCGAGCACGAGGGGCAGTCGTTGCTCGGAGTACCCAAAGATAGTTTCATTGATTGGGTCATAGGGTACATCCCAATATTCCGTACACACCTTTGTGTTGCTGTCTACTCCTGAGCTGGCAGCTGGCCGAGGCTGCTTGGAGAACGGCTCTTCCCCAGGGCCCGGAGTTTCCTTGACGACTGTGCGCGTCATTGATGCCGAAGAACTGGATGCATCCGTAGAAGGAGTTCGGGGTTTGTGCAGCTTCTTGTAGACCCCCAGCTTCCTCTTGAGCTGCTTCAGCTCCACCGACGTCTTCCCTGGGGAGCGGGTAGTCGTTGTGGGCTGGTGTCGGGAGAGGACGTTGACTCCGTGGAAAGGTCGGCTTCTTTCCACACTCCGTAATTTGGTCCCCAAGTTGTCCGGTACCGGTATAATCTCCACAGCTGTCTGCTTCTTTTGGAGTCCCTCCCGAAATTTCTCCAAGGCTCTAGCTCCTCGAAAATCATAAGTTTTCATTAAAGCATCTTTATAGGATAGCTTTAACGAATTCTTATAATTTCTTGGGTCTTCAAGGAGTTTCCCCGTCTCGGCAGAGTCTTTTTTCGCGGAGTCTGATTTTTCCTCGGCGAATTTCCCTGGCGAAGACTGGTCGTGGGGTGGAGATTTTCCCCCATCATTTCCTCCTGCTCGCGTCGAATCAGCTTCGTCGAAGTTGATTTTTTCGGAATCCCGCGGCCGTTTCCGGATCTTTTTATTTTCGCCAGCTAGATCCGCAATCACTGGCGACTCCCGTTTTTTGTCTTCTGATTGGCCGGAAGATTTCCGCCACTGTTGCGTGCCCGATACTCTGCGCGTGCGGCCTTCATTTTGTTGCAGTCGAAGATTCGGTGGCCCGGCACCCCGCAAAAATCACACGTGTAGTTGGTGTTTTTCGGACGTGGCCGCCCCTCGAATCTGTCGACTTCCATCGGGTCGGCGAACGTGGGGTGAGCCGAGCGGTCGCCCTGTCGCGTACTGCCGACGTGCGTCCGTCGTGTTCCGGCGTTGACCATGTCGAAGCGCTCCACGGCCGAAACGACGTCACTGTAGCTCGCGTAGTTTGACGCTGCCACCTGTCGTTTGACTTCGGTCTTCAGCCCGGCGAGGTACGATTGTACTTTTTCCCCTTCGGTCAGGTCGGGAATTCGGTTATAAAATTCTTCCATCTGCTGCGTGTATTGCGCTACACTCCCGAACTGTCGATGACGATGAATTTTTTCGCGGGCAAGAAAACTCGAATTTATCGGCTCGAATCGCTTCAGCAGGTCGGTGCGGAACTGCTGCCACGTGGCTTCACCGTGGATGAAGGTGCTGTTGCCGCCAATCCACTCGAGTGCCGGCCCTCGCATCAGTGTCGCCGCGAGTCGTACACGTTGACCGTCCCAGACTGGCGAGCTCCATCCGACGGCTGCGAAGTAGATCTCCATCCCGGCGATCCATCTGCGGGCGTCGGAGTTTCGATCGCTCGGATCGAACGGCTCAGGTGGGCGCGGTTTCGGAGCCTCGAGAAACTGCTGCGACTGCTGCGTCGTCGCCGTTGTCGTTTCGTGCTGCGCTCCGGCGAGTCGAGTTACTCGCTCGAACTGGTTTCGCCACGCTTCGCGATCTGCTCGCATTTCCTCCTGAAGGGCTGCGATGCGCGCGAAGAGCTGCTGGGTAACCTCGGCGTTGTCGAAGGTTGCCATCCTGTTCAAAACACGCACGGAGGGGGTAATTCGAAAATCGCGGAGCTGGTGCTTACCAGAATCGGCGTCGAATTGGTCGCCCCCGGCGGTTTTTCGAGGCAGGATCCCCGCTGCTGCTGCTTAGCTGAGCGCGGCCGAGTGAGAAAAGCTCTGATTACCAAGTGTCACAGGATCGAATGTGTCGAGGAAAGGTTGCACTATCGATCAGTACAAGGCGCTTTTATACTTCCAGAGTACATCAGGTAACCAGGTTTATCTTATCCTAAAGAAATAGACCCTTCTAGAAGATAGAATCACCCTGCGTATAGCCACGCGAGGCTATTGGGTTTAAGAGATTACGACAGGATTACGCTAGATAGCGTGTCTAGAACATTCCATGCTGGGTCGGTGATATAATTATAATAAGGGAAGAAACCAAAGGATAATGGAAAATGGGGAATATGAGGCAAAAGGAGCTGAGATAAAAAGAGGAATGAAATGAAGATGAAATATGGAAAAGGCCAAGTGGTGTAACGGAGTCGTACTCTCACAGTAGGCCTCCAGCGCAGTGGTCCAATTTGTAGGTGTAACACTGCTTCGCCGTGTACTCGTAACTTGCTGCCGTTCACCATCGTTGCAGAGAATACTGAAGGCTTGTACTCTTCCCGAAGTTGGTCGATCATTGCCTTTTCACTGACGGTGTGTGATGCTCCACTGTCCACGAGTGCTTGGAGGCGTCGTCCTTTGCAGATGACCTCGAGCACGAGGGGCATGCGTTGCTCGGAGTACCCAAATATAGTTTCATTGATAGGGTCATAGGTTACATCCCAAAATTCCGTACACACCTATTCGTTACTATCTACTCTTGAGCTGGCAGCTGGCCGAGGCTGCTTGGAGGAAGGCTTTTCCCCAGGGCCCGGAGTCGCTTTGGCGACTGTGCGCGTCGTTGATGCCGAGTTTGCTGAGCTGGATGCATCCGGAGGAGTAGTTCGAGGTTTTTGCAGCTTCTTGTAGACCCCCAGCTTCTTCTTGAGCTGCTTCAGCTCCACCGACGTCTTCCATGGGGAACGGGTAGTCGTTGTGGGCTGGTGTTGGGAGAGGACGTTGACTCCGTGGAAAGGTCGGCTTCTTTCCACACTCCTTAATTTTGTCCCCAAGTTTTCCGGTACAGGTATGATCTCCACAAGTTTCTTTTTCTTCTGGAGTCCCTCCCGAATTTTCTCCAAGGCACTAGCCCCTCGAGAATCATAAGTTTTTCATTAAAGCATCTTTATAAGATAACTTTAACGAATCCTTATAGTTTCTTGGGTCTTCTCGGAGTTTCCCCGTCTCGGCAGAGTCCTTATTCGCGGAGTCGGATTTTTTCTTAGCGATTTTCTCTGGCAAAGACTGGTCGTGGGGTGGAGATTTTCCCCCATCATTTCCTCATGCTCGCGTCGAATCAGCTTCGTTGAAGTTGATTTTCCCGAAATCACGCGACCGCTTCCGGATCTTTTCTTTTTCGCCAGCTAGATCCGCAATCACTCGCGACTCCGGATTTTTGTCTTCTGATTGGCCGAAGGATTTCCGCCACTGTTGCGTGCCCCATACTCTGCTCGTGCGGCTTTCATTTTGTTGCAACGAAGATTCGATGGCCCGGCACCTCGCAAAAATCACGCGTGAAGTTGGTGTTTCGGACGTGACCGCCCGTCGAACCTGTTGATTTCCATCGGGTCGGCGAACGTGGGGTGAGCCGAGCGGTTGCCCTGTCGCGTACTGCTGACGTGCGCCTATCGTGTTCCGGCGTTGACCATGTCGAATCGCTCCGCTGCCGAAACGACGTCACTGTAGCTCGCGTAATTCGTCGTTACTACCTGTCGTTTGACTTCGACCTTCAGCCTGGCGAGATATGACTGTACTTTTTCCCCTTCGGTCAGGTCGGGAATGCGGTTATATAATTCCTCCATCGGCTGCGTGTACTACGCTACACTCCCGAACTGTCGATGGCGATGATTTTTTTCCCAGGCAAGGAAACCTGAATTTATTGGCTCGAAGCGTTTCAGCAGGTCGGTGCGGAACTGCTGCCACGTGGCTTCGCCGTAGATGAGGGTGTTGTCGCCGATCCACTCGAGTGCCAGCCCTCGCATCAGTGTCGCCGCGAGTCGTACGCGTTGGCCGTCCCAGACTGGCGAGCTCCATTCGACGGCTGCGAAGTAGATCTCCATGTCGGCGATCCATCTGCGGTTCGATCCCTCGGATCAAACGTCTCAGATGGGCGCGGTTTCGGAGCCTCGAGAAACTGTTGCGACTGTTGCGTCGTCGTCGTTGTCGTGTCGTGCTGTGCGCCGGCGGGTCGAGTTACTCGCTCGAACTCGTTTCGCCAAGCTTCGAGATCGGCTCGCATCTCCTCCTGAAGGGCGGCGATGCTCGCGAAGAGCTGCTGGGTAACCTCGGCGTTGTCAAAGGTCGCCATCCAGTTCAAAACACGCGCGGAGGGGATAATTCAAAAAACGCGGAGCTGGTGCTTACCAGAATCGGCGCCGAATTAGTCGCCCCCGGCGGTTTTTCGAGGCAGGTTTTACCGCTGCTGCTGTTTTGCTGAGCGCGGCCGAGTGAGAAAATCTCTGATTATAGCCTTACAGGATCGAATGTGTCGGGGAAAAGTTGCACTATCGATTGATACAAGGCGCTTCCAGAGTACTTCAGGTAACCTGGTGTATCCTATCAGAAGGAAATGGACCCTTCTAGAAATAGAATCACCATGCGTATAGCCACGCGCGGCTATTGGCTTTAAGGGATTACAACAGGATTACGCTAGATATAGCGCGCCAGTACATCTCGAGCCTGGTCGGTGATATAATTATAATCATAGGATAAACCAAAGGATAATGGAAGGAAGAATAGGAAACCAATTGAGATGAGATAAAAGAGGAATGAAATAGAAAGAAAATATGGAAAGAGGAAAATGGTGTAATGGGGTCGTACTCTCACACACTAGCACACCATACACGCTACACCCCCAAGCCCTTGCACCCCCATGTCCTGCAGCAGGTGTGGCTCCTACCAGCGGGTTGACCCCTCAGCAATAGAGGCGGCGAAGTCAGCGGCGGGTCACAGCGGCTGCGGCGGCAGCGGCAGGGCCTGCAGCACCTGCGGCGGCGGCGGCGGCGGCGTCCAAGGCACCCAAGCACGTGGCACGCACTGTGATGAGGGGGGAGGATGGGCATGAGACTGCCAGCAGCTGCGGCAGGGAAGGGGGGGGAAATGCAGAGGAGGGGGGGGGGGAGTATTTGGCGGCGACGCCGGTTAGCGAGCCGCCCTGGCAGCAGGGCCTCAGATATCAGGATGTTTTATCCTGAATTCCTGATTTTCAGGATGAGTATGAGGTGCCAGACCTGAAAAATCCGATTAAATGTATTTCTGACCCTGTAAATTCAGTATGGTTATCATATGACAACCCTGAGAACTCAGTATAGTGTTCGTGTACCAGCCCTGACTGCTCAGTATGAATTCGAGGATAACCCTGATACCTCGAATCTGGCTTCAGGGGGGGCGCTACGGGTGTACCCCCTGTTTTCTGCCCATAGTTCCATAATTTTCGTGCCAGCGCACATTTTGCCTGTAGATTGTTGCCGCGAAATGACCAGTTTGCCGCGTGCACTGCAAATCCTGTAATTCTGGCCAATAGCGGCTAAGTATACAGCCAGCGCAGCGCACCACAGCCAGGCCTCAGAAGGTGTTGGGGTGCTGCGGTCCACTCGCTGACGCAGCATTGCATGCATGGATGGTTGGACGGCCAACCACTCCATGTGGGGAGGACCAAACTCCTGCGCAGCCATCGCTCATGGTCCTTCCTCCCCACAGCTCCCTTTCATGCCTTGAATCATCCAACCATTCTAGACGATAGAGCTTGTGCTCGCTGGTCTGTTTCTCTGCTGTGAACCGCCCCCTCGTTAGGGGGCACTATGCTTGCGCCAGGATCTGACGACGAGGAGGAGGCTCCCGACGATCCTTCTACAGCGTCCCACCCGGGTGCCGTGACAGGATTAGACTTACTGCGAAGAAATCCTCCCGCATCGGCACCTCCCCCTCGAACGCACACCGCTGAAGTAGTAGAGGAGGCATCTCGCCATGTTGTAGCAACACCACCTCAGCGAAGCACTACGCCCCGCACTTCTTTTAATCAAGGGTCGACCCGTATTGGACCGCCGTCGAAGAAGCTCGAGCCCTCACGCTATCGGCAGGCAACCCTGAGTTTCGGGCGGTCGCAAAACACTCCCGCTCCGACTCTGCACGTCGTCCCTCCTGTTGTTTCAGGACCATCTACAGCTCCGACTTCGTCATCGGACACCGAACTTGAAGACGTGGCCGAACGAAAGTACCAGGAGGCTCTCTGGCAATTTAAAAAGCGGTGGAGTACTGACTTTCCTTGGCTTGTGCTTAATCAGACCCGTGCAGGATTCCCGGCTTTGAAGTGTAAGACTTGCATGGAACATGGCGGGCACGGAACGAACTACGGCAAGGGCGGAGAAGGTGCGACCGACGTCCAGACGCAGGCGATGCAAAACCACCAGCGCACGCGGAAGCACAAGAGAGCGATGCGGAGACAAGCCACCGCCACTGCGATCGCTGAGGGGCAGCTGCGCATGGAGGACTTGGCGAAAACACATACCGTCCAGAGCGAGCGTGTTACTGCACTGCTGGAGACTCTGCTTTTCATCTGTCAGTCCGACGCGCCCATCGAGATGTGGGTGCAACTTGTGCGGCACCTCTCAAAGCGACGTACTCCTGGTTTTCCCAAACGAGGCTACGGGTCTTACTTCACAACGTAAGTCCTTGGGTGTTTTATTCGTTTACTATTTAACATGTGTTGATCTCTCGCATGTACTAATCTCCCTGCATGGTTTGCGCAGGTATGGCTTTCAGGAGTTAACCAAGTCGACAGCCATGTACCTTCGAGCTCGTCAACGGGAGCACTTGGAGTCAAGCCCGTTCATTGGCTTGAGCTGTGACGAGAGTACCGACAGAGTTCGTGGCAAGCACATGATTGTGTTTGCTACTTTCCTTCGCGAGCGCATTGTTGTCACAGAGTTTCTAACGCTTCTTCCTGTCGACAAATGTGATGCAGCTTCTCTGGAAGGCTCTCTTGTTGCTTACCTCGATAGCATCGGCATCAGTCTCTCAAAGGTGTCGGGCATCAGCACCGACGGTGCCGCAGTGATGGTTGGAGCCACGAACGGGGTCGTTGGGCGCCTTCGACAGCGGATCCCGCATGTGGTTTCTGTCCACTGCATAGCGCATCGGTTCGTTCATGCATAGACTTCATATCCCGTTGAGAAAACCGTGCACTAACCACTGTTTCGTCGTGTTTCTACTCCCGTCCATCCAGGGAAGCCCTCGCGGCCAGAGATGCTGCCAACGCGCTGCCTGAGCTGGGAATTGTGGATGCCATCATCCGCGCGGTTGCTGAGCTGCTGGGGCGTTCACACAACTGGCACAAGATGTTCAAGGACCTCCAAAAGATCTTCACGGCGACAAATCTGGAGATGCAAGGGATTCACCTTGTTCGGTGGCTCAGTCGTGGCGGCGCCATTCTGAGGCTGGTGGCGGTGCTTCCTGCCGTCATCGTTCTGCTGCACCTCTACGACAAACCCATGTACCACATCGTCACATCGTACAAGTTTCACTTTTTCCTGTACTTCCTCGCCGACGTGCACGAGGAGCTCAACAGCCTCAATCTGCTGTTCCAGAAGCGCGAGGTGAGCCATTGCGGTTGCAATGGTTTCCAACCAATTCAAACAAAAAACATACTGCCGTCAATAAAAAAATTACTTACTTCCTCGTGTTCTTATTTCATCCCATGACACCCTCCTACAGATCGACCTGACGGGCGTGCAGTCGCAGGTACGGCGAACGATCGTCTTCATTCGTTCGCGCTACGTCAACTGCGGGCCTAACTTCGGCACGAACAGCGATCGCCTGTCCAAGTTTCTGGAGCGCCACGCCAGCAACCGAGATGTGATCGTGCAGGGCGTCGATGCAGACGGAATGGAGCGAGTGCATCAATTCGAGCTTCACGAGGAGCCGCTGCCAAACTACACCACTGCCCGCGGCGACAAAGCTTCCTGCACGCTCACCTGTCGCTCCTACGCGACCGAGCTCATCTACAACGTGCAGCTGCGGCTCGGCGACCTTGAGCGGCTCAACGGGTCAAAGCTGTGGATGCCCCGAACATGGCCGCGGAACACGGAGGCGAGGGACGAGGAGTGCGCCGAGCACTTTGACAGCGTGGTCGAACTCTTCCACGCCAGCGACCGCGTTGAAATTCTGCCAGGTAAGGTTATCCATGCCAATGTATATTATATGCCCAACTTGCTAAAATATTGCAGTTCCTGTATGAGTGTTGCTGATTTACGAGTGTTGCTGTTCCTGTATGTGTCTGGCAGGAGTCGACAAGCGGCTGGCACGCAAGGAACTCAGCACCCTCGTGCCAGTGCTTGCTGGTGTGCCAAAAGAGGAGCAGCCATTCCATGCCGGACTTGCAGCCAACCTGGAGACCAGCGACTGGCCGCGCAGCTACCCGAATCTCGTGCGCCTGTGGGTGGCTGTGGCAGTGCTTCCTCTCAGCACTGTTGAGTGCGAGAGGGGATTCTCGCGACAAAATGTGATTAAGAGCTGGAACCGGACGAGTCTGTGCAACGGGAAGCTGGAGGATCTGATGTGCATGAGTTTGCTAGAGTATGACATGAACTGGGATAGGGTCATTGAGGTGTGGCGCGGCATGAAGAAGAGACGGCCAAGGAGGGCCCACCAGAGCGAAGTGCGTGCGAGGAAGTCTGCCAAGGGCAAAGAGAAAGTGGTGGTGTTGTCCGAAGAGGAGCATGATGATGAGGCACGAGCGGACGATGAGAACAGCTGCTCCAGCAGCGGGTTTAGTTCTAGTGATGATGAGGAGGATGGTGGAAACTTCTGAGTCGAGCCACATGTATGCTGCAGTACTGTGAATATTGATTATCTCTGGTGTTATGCTGCTGCTATTATTATACTTAAAGCAACATTTTGGGCTGTTTTGAAGATTACCCTGAGGCTGCAGTTAAGTGCTGGATGCCAACCCTGACAAAACAGCATGAACATTGACGTCCAACCCTGACCAGTACACGTGTTTTTAAGGCCTAGCCCTGACTAGACAGGATGCCCAAAATCCTAGCTGAGGCCCTGCCTGGCAGGCAAGCAAGCTGGCGTGCGGGCGTGGCGTGGTGGCTGGCGCTAAACCAGCGCGCTTGCCGCAATCGTCCATGCGCTGTCACATTGAAGCTGCCGCGACAGCACGAGGCCGCCATGGCAGAGCGTCGAGATTGCCACGGCAGCTCGGCGAGGCCGCCATGGCAGCGTGTCAGGGCCGCCATGGCAGCACGACATGACCGCCACGGCAGCGCGTCGAGGCCGCCACGGTAGCACGCGGAGGCTGCCACGGCAGCGCAAATGTGAGAGGAGGTGGGGAGAGAGTATGCTGCGGAAGCGTGACGAGGAGGCTCAGCTGGATCATCCTGTTCTGAAACCATGATGGAAGGAGGTTTAAGCTAGAAGAGAAGAGAATAGACGAGGAAGAGAGAGAGAGAGATACAAGGAGGGGGGTAGTCCTCTCTACAGTAGGATCCACAATTGTAGAACACCTACCAAGCCTACACAACTATATATATATATAAAATATATATATTGATACATCATACACAACACATCCTACCACTCTATGGTCACCCCATGCACGTCTACTGCAAACTGTGCCTCTTGCCACCTGCTGCCTTGTATCACTCCCGCTGCACCCCTTGTGTTACAGCCCGTGGCTTCTTCACCCAATGTATCCCCCACCTCACGGCTCCCCCCCTGCGGGCTTTGGGTGCCTGCTTGCCTGCCTCGTGCGCTGGCCAGCTCTGCTCCCATGGGCGGCACCACCCCCGCCTGCACGTTCTTATCTGCTGCTGACTGCAACGCCGCTGCTGCTCCGCCCTTCACAGGCTTGGGATTGGGGGGGTGGGGGGGGGGGAGGGGGAGGGAGGAGGGTTGAGAGGAGGGATTCCTAGGAAAGGGAGAAGTTATAGCAGAGAGTAAAGGAGAGTACATGCAGTAGGGAGGTAAGGGTGACAATGAGCTGAATGAAGCTTAGAGACTTAGAGAGACAGGAGCATAAAGAAGAGAAAGACCGACAGACAGTGGTCAATGACGAAACGCATCTCATGGAATATATTCAGTCTCCCAACATAGGTAGCATGATGCCCTCCTTCCACTCATCAAGACTCCAGGGCAGCCAAGCAACCCTCCTCGCACATCACAACCATTCAAAGCCGTTCCAAAATACCATCCCATACCACCCATGATGTCATCGCTTCCCACGCACATTCCTTCCCATCGCTCAACCCCTCAAACCTGCAGAATCTCTTCATATCATACTCTGGTACCCAATCCCAAAGCAGCCATCCTCCCCCATCCCATCCCATCCCATCCCATCCCCTCCTCTACAACCCCCTACATCCCCTCCCTTTCCCCAGCCTACCATCCCCACTTACCCCTCCGAACTGCGCCGTTTCTTCCTTCTGCTTAGCAGCGGCGTTCATCTTTGTGACGGGCCGGTCCAGCCCGCCTGCCTCGATCTCCCCTTCGGGCAGCACGTCCCGCATTCGGTTCGGCACCTCAGGAGCGGCCACGCCGCCGCCCATCCTCCCCGCCGCCGTCGTAGGCTCGTCGCCCGTCCCTGTCGCTGGGCTCTCTTTCACTGTCACACACCCTTCCGTCCCGCTCGCCGCGCCCAGAGCGCCTGGAACGCCACCGCCGGCGGGCGCTGTAACCGGGGCGACGGCAGCGCCGCCGGCGGCCGCCATGGCCTCCTTGACCTCCCCCGGCTGGCGGTCGAACTCGCGCTGCAAATTCCGCTCGTGCTGCGCCGCTAGCATCTCAGCAACGGACGGCTCGCGCTATTGCTTGCCCTAACCGCCAAGGGACAGGTCGCGCTGGCGCTGCTGCTGTTGCTGTGCCATGACGAGGACGACGGTGAAATGTGCGGATTATTCTGTGATGTTCGCACAGAGAGGCGGTTCGGGCAGTTGCGGGGTTGCAAGATTGCGGGATGTGTATACGCGGCTCGGGAGTTCCCGAGCATGAGACATATGTAGAATGCATGAGGCACATCGCACGCATTATGAGGGATCAGCCACAGCAACTGCCACGTGCTGCTTGGTAATCAATGCGTCGTTACGCGCTGTGACGCCTTGCGCGAGGTCTCATTGTACCGCATGGCATCCGCAAGTAATATGGGAGCGCGTTTAGCAGATTCCGTGCATGCATGCACGCACCTAGAAGGTAAGTTTTTGCCTCGCACTGAAGTTGAGTTTCTGCACATGATGGTGGAGGGGGTTGTAAGGGCGCGGAACAATGCGACCGGTTTGACGATCGTTTTAAGATCCTCGCATTGTAGAAAACGGGTAACCAGCATGCTACAGCAGCCTCAAAATAGTCAAGTACCAGATCTGGGGAGAGGATCAATTCCAAAACAACCCCGCAAAACGATATCTCGTCCGAATCACTTTCGATCCTACGGCCAAAGTACCAGATCGCGGCACCCCAAATGTCACGAAACCTCAAGCGCTTCGTCAATTCGCCAACAATTTTGGCTCGTGCCGCGTACAAGAGCGAGTTTCGAGTGCTAGTTGCAGGTTCTGCGCGAAAAACCTTGCGAAATGTCACGCTGCAAGCTGATCATGCTAACTAAAAGCTGCAATAGTGGAAGCACATTGCGTCCACTTTGACGATCATTTTGCGATCTTGGCACCGTAGCAAGCTGGTTACCCTGCTAGACAAGGTAGTCGCGAAGAGGACGACGGGCGTTACCCATGTCGAATTCAGAGACAGAGCCTCAGAAGTATCATAACCCTTCCTGTAAGAGTGGTTCGCCGCTGCACCGACGTTTGCACACGAAAAGTCGGTCATAAGGCGAAGTTTTTGGTGGAATACTAGGACAGATCTAAGTTGGTTGAGATATAAGGGACGGTAGAACGTACGGGTAAGATTAGGGTTGGAAGATGGAGAAAAAACGGATGGACGAAGGAACCAAGGGAGAGAGAACGTCGAGAGAGTTCAGTTCAGCCAGAAATGTCCAATCAAACTTAGGTCGTATTCGGCGGAATGTCACATGGTCGGTTTCACCGACAGTGTCGGTTACAGAAATCGGTTCCGACCAAGATTCGATGAAACGCACGCGACGCGTTACACGAGTCGCCCTTTACATTTTTGCATGCTTATATGTTCTTGTTCTGTTTTTCGTCTGTAACCACTTTTTGGAGTGCAATTCACTGTTTGAACTCTGAAGCTGAAGAGCACCCAGCTCTCCTACACTTCTCAGATCCAGTTTGGAGTTTCCGCTGTGTTCTTGGGGACCTAGCGAATAGCCAGAAACTATCGCCCCAAGTCCAACACTTCCAGCAAAGAAGAAGCTCCAGAGTGCCATTCTGACGACGACCATGTCCGAGCACGTAGTTGTCCCATCGCGTGGATAAACACAGGCGGCGACGGTGTAGAGCGGGTTTGGTCTTGATAGGGTTTAAGAAGCTGGTATGGAATGTGTTATGGATCTTCCAAGTGGCTGGTAGGCAGAAGCGGAAGGTGACTGAAGTGACCTTTGCTTCAATGAGTATGGACCCGCAGAAGCAAGGTTGAAACTTGGAAGATGACTGATGTCAAGATTATGGTGTGGATAACTGTGGCAAGTGCTTCTGATGCTGTGGGATGCCCAAGCGGTGTGTCCGGTGTTAGAGGTGATGGACAACGGTGATGAAATGGATTTGTCAGTTGTTGTGGTGTGAGCTGGTTGCGTCTGTAGGTGGTACGCGGTTGGCGTTGATCGTGATCGAGATGTTGTAGCGGAAGAGTAGATGTACAGTCCTTTCGGTGGGTGCTCTAGCTAGCGCACCGTAGCATGCGTTGACTCTCGGGTAGCACATCCCGGTGTTACGCGCATCCCGTCCACGTATGAAGATGACTAAGTGTTGGTGGTCTGCAGTCGTGTCAAGGTCCTGCTTCTGTACCAGCGTTGTATCAGATACATGCAGCTTCTGTCGAATGCTGGTCCATGCCTTAGTTTTGTTGTGAGTCGTACCCTCTCGGCATCGTAGTGCTGCGGCATGGAGATTAGAACCACTAGTAGTAACCCTGTCCACCACGCGGTCTGCTCGTTACACTGCCTTGAGTACAACAGTGCATGTGAAGTGCTGCTTAGTGTATCCTTTGTGTTCAGAACCATGCGAGGGGTTGGTACCACAAACGCGGAGCTGGTAACTTCCAGAATCGGAGCCAAAGTAATTTCCGTCGGTGGTTGCTCAAGCAAGGAATCTCAGCTGCGTAGATATCCCACGGTGATGGGTTAGGACATCTGGGAATGTTAGGGCTATTCCCAAATAATCCTCTCCCATTTCCAAATGAGCATTGCTGACAGCCAATCCAGTATGACCTTATGCACGTCCAGTTTAGCACGGAGGCCATCAGTAGGCATCGGTGTCTGGGTGCACATATTGGGATTGGTCTTCTGGTGCTGTCGTGTGTTGTCTCATTCTGTTACTATCTTTGAAGTAGCGTTGATGTCGAAGATTTCTCAGCTACCCAGCCCAATAGGCCATGAGGACTTGTATACCGGTAGAGTACCGTTGTCCTCCCATCTTCATACGAACAAATATCTCCTGCTCTTGAGGGTATTGCCATGTTGCCATGTAGTGTCGAGTCTTCTGCTGCGGCGGCGGCGGTGGTTGCGACGATGGTGACGGCGGCAGTTGCTGCAGAGAATTCTCTTACTCGTAATGGTTGAAGGAGAATCCATCAACTCCCTCTTCCCCGTAGAGTTTTCCTAATGTGTGTAACAGGCATACAGTGGCAGAAACAATTGTCCACATGTTTAGCATATTTTCACATTTTGACGAGTTGTACGCTATAAACATTAAGCCTTAATTCATGGTGGCCATACACGTAGAGAGGAGCAGTTAGAGCACTTACTCAAATCTCCTAAAACCAGAAGTAGTATATTTCATGGTCCTTCGAGACGACAACATTGAATAACAGCACATCCAGACAATTTGTACCGGGGACAGGCAGCAAACTAGTTACTAGCAAAACTAGTTCCTAGTCAACCGACACTTGGCCTTGGTCACCACCTACACCCTCCTAGGCATGCTATCTACGAGGTTAGTGCAAACCTTTACAGGGATCTTCTCGCATTCTTCCTGGACCCACGCTTTTGCATAAGGGGGTGAGCACTAGGAAAATCGCGAAGTATTTGAACGTATGCAAGAGTACTGTGCACGATTTCATGTTGAATGTTATCTCTAAGACTAGCCATGCTGAGGTGTGGCCAAAGATGCAATTAGTCGACTGGTCTCGTCTTATCATGAATCGTCTTCATCGTACCGTTGTAGGTAAAAATTACGAGCAAAGTGGCGAAAAAATGCGTATCTGCCACGAAACTTAGGGTAACATAGCACGGTTGACAGTGCATCCTTGCACTATTAGAATCACGCCAGGATCCGCAGGTCTCTGAGCGGTGCAGCACTCGAAGTAGTCGTGTCTGGTGGGGAAAAATATCCGGGTTCAGGTCTGGTGAGGAAAAGGGTCACTCCAGCGTAACATACTCGTATTCTCTAAGCCATTCTAAGCCATGTGTCCCGCCTAGGCTTGGAAAGGCTTGGAGAGCATGAGTTTATAGCACTGGAGTTGTGAGAGTACGACCCCGTTACACTATTTTCCCCTTTCCATATTTCCTTTCTATTTCATTCCTCTTTTTATCCTCATTCATTTGGTCTTTATCTCATCTCATTTGGTTTCCTATTCCTCCTTTTCCATTATCCTTTGGTTTATCCTATTATTATGATTATATCACCGACCAGGCTCGGGATGTACTGGCGCGCTATATCTAGCGTAATCCTGCCGTAATCCCTTATAGCCAATAGCCTCGCGTGGCTATACGCATGGTGATTCTATATTCTAGAAGGGTCTATTCCCTTTGGATAGGATAAGCCTGGTTACCTGATGTAATCTGGAAGTATAAAAGCACCTTGTACTGATTGATAGTGCAACATTGAGCAACCTTTCCTCGACACATTCGATCGTGTGACACTTGGTAATCAGAGCCAAGGGTTCAGCTCAACGCTTAACCGCTGGGCCCCCAGGAGCACGCGGAGGGTAGAGTCGAAACTTCAATTCCTGTAAGTACAATGCACTTTCATTTAAGTTTCGACTCACCACTCGCAGTTGCACCTGGGGTCCCCTTCGAAGGCGAGATGCCTCGCCAACCGTTCGATGGACTGCATCGACGGTGCCGATTTTTCGCGGGGGCAAACGGCCTCGACCTGGCGAGCGCGTCAGTTCCGGCGGAACACTCCCTGCGACATTCGGAGAAGTTCGCAGTTCGCGATAACATTTGAAGTTGCGCGGAAATGTGCGGAGCTGCGACCGACGACGTCCGTCCGATGGGGATTCGACGCTTCAGATCGACCGAGGCGAAAACGAAATCCTGCTGAGAGAGTTCGAGTTTCAGCGCGAATGGGAGCGAGACCTCGCAAGCCGCGAAGATTTTCGGAGCGTCCGATCGTTCGACAGCCGACATCGACGACCGAGAATTGCTGCACGAAACGAAACAACCCGGGCGCCGAAAGCTGCTGAACGAGACTCAGGAGTATCCTCAGATCGCTTGGAGTTTGGACCGTCGGATCGAATATTACTTCAACGGACGAGATGGAGCGCGACTTCTGCACGAAGGGAGAATGACGCGCAGAACCAGAAACTGGCCGCCTTCAACATCGTTGACAACATTTGGACAACCAAATTCGGACTCCTCTATTTGGTGATGAATATGGTGCGCAAATTATCTGCCGAGTCAGAAACCTGCCAGAGTATTACCTACTTGGTAATAGCTGCAAGCAGAAAATTGACACGAGAACGTGGATCGTCGGATCGTTGCGGAATCAACGGCACGAATGCAGCAGAGACTACACTTATGGGAAATCATCATCATGGAGACAACATTCGTGACCAGCGACTGCACAATCGACGCATCTTCTGACTGGTGTCGATAACGATCGAGTTATTTTGACGAAGTCATCTTCGTTAAAAATGGATCGACATCAACACAGCGAGATCTTCACCCAGGAAAAACAATGGAGCTGCGTGAAGACATGTTCTCCATCCATGAGATACTTTATCTCATAAATTGGATCGACAAGCTATGGGATTGTAGAGAAGTAGCTGTTTTCTCTTGCAATGCTCCC